AGGGTTGCACAAGAACTAGGCGAGACAATGACAGATGAAGAATTGAAGGAGATGATCGAGCGGGCGGACAGCAATGGAGATGGAGAAATCAGCTTTGAGGACTTTTATGCCATTATGACGAAGAAATCATTCCCTTAAAATTGTGCAGCGATCCACTTATTTCTCCCACTTCAAAATCCAGGCGCCACGTGCTGCAAACAAACTGCTCCTCACAAATTACTGCACGCCCCGCGGCCCTGCGAGAGGTTGTCAGATAGTGGAGTTCATTCCCCGTATCAATGTAATTCTTCGGTTAAGCCAAAAAGGATTTCCCTCAAGATACAAGTGTGTGCACACACGATGCAAGTGTGTGCACACACTTTTTATTGGATATACACCGTAAAAACACATTTCTGTTTCGTTGTTTTCGGGATTCTGGCCGACACAGACGCTAGCAAGTGCCGTCATCACATACGTCTCGAGGCTGAATTAAAGTGGACTCGTAATATGGCTTCAAATAAACTAGTTGGTTTCCGTTTCCGTACACTTGATAGGTATGGAGCGCAAGAAACCTGCCTCCTAGGTTGAAGCACGGACGCAGTGGGACACCAGGTGGAGGAACGGTCCTCCAGGCCGTGATGTAGCCGTTGTTCGTGGTTTCAAATATTTGACTCACTTCGCCTGGGATTTTGATGAGCCAAGGTTTGTCACAGATGGTTCCTCCTGGCAGGGCAGTTACATAGAGTATGTTGTACGGTCTGACCAACTTCGCTTCTAGTTGATCGGGTCCGTCTTGTTCAATGTAGTGTAGATGCAGCCGGCCCAGCCATGGCGCAATATCGTCTGGTACGCAAACATATTTCCCACATATTATTTCGTCAGCATCGAACGTTGCTGTCCATCTCAATAACATATTACATGCACCTGCTCTTCCCTCTTCTTCGCCATCAGTCGTCTCGCCGTCAGTTGTCTCGCCATCAGTCGTCCCGTGGTCGTCTTCCTCAGTGGCCCAGTAGTTGTCTGCTTCCCCAATGAAATTGCTATTAGAATAAAGTTTAGGTGATTCATTGCTTGTCGGTAACAAGCTCTGATCCAAAATGGCGTCCTTAGTATCGTCCTCAACAGCATAGTCTGCCGTCGCCTGATCTAGGGCAATACCACATAATATAGCTTTTCCCAAGTCCCCGCCATGATCACATGGTCTGACGTCCCTACAACCCGGTCCCACGTAGGTCAGGGAAAGCTGGCTGGTATACTTAGCACCAGTTACAGCTGCCAGAGTTAGCACTTTCCCAATCAACATTTTCAAAAAAGACAAAAAGAACTAACGACGCACCCTAGTAGGTTCTAGTGTTCAAAACTGCGACCTCCATTTTCTTCATGATAAAAACTGATCACCCAATGACGACGCTGGTTGACCCCAATCGACCTTTGGTGCGTTTGCTAGGTCGTGTAGCGATTCGATGTAAAGCGTGCTTGTACAAGTAAGAACCAAATTTATCACTACTTGAGAGAGCAACCAGCCAGCATCCATGAGAGAGCAACCAGCCAGCATCCATGAGAGAGCAACCAGCCAGCATCCATGAGAGAGCAACCAGCCAGCATCCATGAGA